GAAAAATGAAGTTCACATGCTTAATATGCTGATACAAAGCTTAATCTGGCCCTTATGGGAACCAGCAATAAAACCTCTTCATTGACTTCACTGAGAATTGGAACAGGCTCAGTGGCTTGAACGTTATACTATTTTTCAACACTAGATGGGGATCCTAGACCACTTTCCCAACTTTGCCAGCAGCAAGCAGAAATGAAGAAATGCTGTCTGGACCCTGACATTTTTTGCTATTCCTTTAGGCTTCCCAGTGATGAGCTGCACTGACATTCAGTGCTCACTGTAACTCTGCATTTGCACAGCCCGTGCCGACATAGACTGCTCATTAATAAGGATGGGTGGCACACGGGGATGCAATCATCTGATGAAGCAAGCTGATGCTTAGGATAGCTTATGCTATATACTTCCTGATTTAGTCTATAAGGTGCAAATCAACCCTGCGTGATACACAGCGAAGCAGAAATCTGGTGAACTTTTCCAACACTAGGCTGTTAGCCCCACGTGCTCAGAAAGTGAGAGTCAGTGAAATGAAGTCATGACATTGGCCCTGAAACGAGGAGTTATTTTAAATAGTAATAGTTTGGGGACTGTCGTTGCTTTTGCTGCCTGGTCTCTGAGCTACACGCTGCATTCAGGTCGTCTTTTCCCTGCAGCCGTAAGATCTAGAAACTTTTAAAAATTAAATGCAAGCTGAGGTTTTCCCACAACAGCACTCTGGGAGCTGGGGCTTCCAGGAAGATACAGTATGATGGGGCCCGTGATGCAATGGCAAGAGGCAGCAGCCCTGATTTCTGGATTCACAAACCCAGTGGGAATTTGTGAGTGTTTCTCCTGCAACTGGAGTTTTTGTTCTGCTACAAGGACGCTTCAAATGAAAGAAAAACTGGGAACCGGGTTTGCAGCTGCTACAGATCAGTAAAGCACTACTGATCTCGATACAACTGGGCTGAGATACTGGTGCAATGTGGCTGAAAGGCAACCGGTGCAGAGAGCTGCACGCTGCGGGTAAAGATGGCAGAACCGGTCCCCGGGAAGGAACAGCGTTTTCCTGCAGTGACACGCGGGGTCCCAACTCCGGGCTGTGGAAGGAAACTGAGACAGAGGAAACAGCCTGAACACCAGTGACAACGTCCTTGCTCGGCATGCATCAGGCTGTGGGTGCACGTGACAGTCTCCCCATTGCTCAGCATTTTGGCCGGAGAAAGCACTAGACCTGTCCCTGAAGGGGGGATTTTCCTGGCCAGATGTTCATGGGAACTACGTCCCTTCATGCCAGTGGAGACCAGCAAGCCTCCAGTGACTTAGTTCTTCACCTGCACGACCCCCATTATTATATGCAAGGGGAGCTGCGGGGTGACAAGAGCCTCCTTTGAAAATCCCAGACTTCTTCCAATGGCAGCGTGCAAAGCGTGTGGAAGCTCCTTCTCGGGGCAGCGGCCTCGCCTGCCCGAGGATGTGCTTCTCTTTGGGTCAGCAGGGTGTCGGAGAGCGAGCCCGGGGTCAGGCGCCCCTGGGGCTCATCCCCATCATCCATCCCATCGAGCCGATAAGCCGCCCCTTGATAACGGGAGGTGCCAGAAAGAGCCTCCGGTTTCCCACCTTTTTGAAGTCTGCCCGGTGACGTTTTGCAGAGCTTTGTCGCTCTGCCAAAGTAACCAAGCTCCAGCTCAGCCTTTTCTCCCCTCCTTCCCCTCAGCCCCCCCTCCCCTCTTCCTCCCATTTCACTGAGCACGCACCTCTGCGCGGGGCTGATATGGGCTTTGGGGTCCCACAAATGATGTCATCTGTTTTTGGTCCAGCCGAGGAGAAGGCGCTGCCGGAGATGGCCCCGGGTGAGATGCGTCTGCCTCTACCCAGCCTGGCGCCGGCCGCAGCAGCAAGCCTTCCTTTCACAGCCCCTTCTGCACCTTATCACTGGAGAGATGACATCTTCGGGGGCGCTGCGCAGGCCGGCATGGCTGGGAGACAGGCTACGGGATTTCTGGAGGCCGCTGCTGGGAACGCATGAATGTGCATGTGTTCACGGGAGCCAGTTCCTGGCATGAAACAAGCAGGGAGATCACGTCCAGCAGGACAGAGCCAACAGCCAGACAGCATGAAAGGGAAGCTGGCTGCATGCTACAGCCAAGCCATAGTCAACAGTCTCCATCAACAGGCTCAGTATTCAACTAATTCTGCTCCTGTTAAAGCCACTGAAAGCTTAACTGCTGGTATCAATGGCCAGAGCTTCACACCTCTGACAGACTCAGTGCAAGGTGAAGCAGTAACCCAGAAAGGGTTAATGGATCCCAGCCTATTGCAGGGCTCAGGGGAGTGCAGAAGCAGGAGGAAGCCAGGTCTAGGGACAGGGGTTGCATGATATGGCATGGCATGGCATGGTCTGGTATCGTGTGGCATGTTCTCCTACCTTGGGAATAGAGGCAATTTGTGGGGTGTGACTAGCTGGACGGCTTCTATGGAAGCTGCTGTGAGATGGATAGTATGGGTCTGAGTTCATGAGATGCTGCGGGGAAAAAACCCAACAACATGCCTACTTCTTCTGGAAATTTTTTTTTCTCATCACAAATAATGCCCAACATCATCCTCCCCTTGCCTCTTCCTTCCTCACCCCCATATCTGCAAAAACAGGGTGTTGGTCACAAATATTTTGGACACCACCAGAAATGAACTGGCGTTTCTGTCTCCTGGTGCACCCCGGCGGTGTGGTGGCCATGCTGCGCTGCTTCCCTCACCAAGGGGGGACACCCTAGTGCACG